CAATAGCGTAGTCAAGCAAGCCGGGTCAACAACAACGGGACAAAACAGTACAGAACAGTAGACAGAGAATCACAGGTCACGGGCCGGGTTCAGCAACGGGAAGGTCAGATCAAAGGGAAACACAGAGAATGGTCTTAGTCACAACCGAGTCAGAATACCAGAAGAGTCACAAGCGTATACACAGAGCTGTAGCAAGACAAAGACACAAGACACAAGTGCAAAGAGCATGTGCAGATCCCAGGCTTATATTTACTCAGCCACACCCCTCTGGGGATGGACCTCAGAGACCTGAAGGCATAAAAGATTCCCATCATGCTCAGCAGAAATCCAAGATGGATGCCAGCACATGGAGTAACATAACCTCTGGGAAAAGGTAGGACCTTGACAATTTTCCCTTCAGTTTTGTCTTCAGCAAGTGAAATGCATGCTCAAATCGGATTCAGGTCAGGTGATTGACTTGGCCATTGCATAACATTCCACTTCTTTCCCTTAAAAAACTTTTTGGTTGCTTTTGCAGTATGCTTTGGGTCATTGTCCATCTGCACTGTGAAGCGGCGTCCAATGAGTTTTGAAGCATTTGGCTGAATATGAGCAGATAATATTGCCCGAAACACTTCAGAATTCATCCGGCTGCTTTTGTCAGCAGTCACATCATCAATAAATACAAAGAGAACCAGTTTCCATTGGCAGCCATACATGCCCACGCCATGACACTACCACCACCATGCTTCACTGATGAGGTGGTATGCTTACGATCATGAGCAGTTCCTTTCCTTCTCCATACTCTTCTCTTCTCATCAGTCTGGTACAAGTTGATCTTGGTCTCATCTGTCCATAGAATGTTGTTTCCAGAACTGTGAAGGCTTTTTTAGATGTCGTTTGGCAAACTCTAATCTGGCCTTCCTGTTTTTGAGGCTCACCAATGGTTTACATCTTGTGGTGAACCCTCTGTATTCACTCTGGTGAAGTCTTCTCTTGATTGTTGACTTTGACACACATACACCTACCTCCTGGAGAGAGTTCTTGATCTGGCCAACTGTTGTGAAGGGTGTTTTCTTCACCAGGGAAAGAATTCTTCGGTCATCCACCACAGTTGTTTTCCGTGGTCTATTGTTTATTAGTTGTTTTCCGGGTCTTTTGGTGTTGCTGAGCTCACCGGTGCGTTCCTTCTTTTTAAGAATGTTCCAAACAGTTGTTTGGCCACGCCTAATGTTTTTGCTATCTCTCTGATGGGTTTGTTTTGTTTTTTTTCAGCCTAATGATGGGTTGCTTCACTGATAGTGACAGCTCTTTGGATCTCATCTTGAGAGTTGACAGCAACAGATTCCAAATGCAAATAGCACACTTGAAATAAACTCTGGACCTTTTATCTGCTCATTGTAATTGGGATAATGAGGGAATAACACACCACCTGGCCATGGAACAGCTGAGAAGCCAATTGTCCCATTACTTTTGGTCCCTTAACAAGTGGGAGGCACATATGCAAACTGTTGTACTTCCTACACCGTTTCACCTGATTTGGATGTAAATACCCTCAAATTAAAGCTGACAGTCTGCAGTTAAAGCACATCTTGTTCGTTTAATTTCAAATCCATTGTGGTGGTGTATAGAGCCAAAAAATGTTAGAATTGTGATTGCAATGTCCCAATATTTATGGACCTGACTGTAGCACATAATGTGAAACAGCACACAGTTAACCCTTTGATCACCCCAGAGGTTAACCCCTTCCTGCCCAGTGCCATTAGTACAGTGTCAGTACCTTTTTTTTTTAGCACTGGTCACTGTATTGGTGTCACTGGGGATGCCAGTGACACTAAGTCAGTTCCCCCCAGTGTCAGAATGCCTGCTGCAGTCCTGCAGTCCCACTATGAGTCGCTGATCGCTGCCATTACTAGTAAATTAACAAAAAAAACTATATATACCGCCGTTTGTAAACGCTATAACTTTCATGTAAACCTATTTTATTTATACGTGTTGGGATTTTTTTTTTAGCAAAAGACATGTAGCAGAATACATTTTTAGCCTAAATTTATGATGAAATCTGATTTTTAAAATCTTTTTACTGGATATGTTTTATAGCAAAAAGTCAAAAATATATTTTTTTTTCTAAAAATTGTCAGTCTATTTTTTTGTAGTGCAAAAAATTAAAAAACGCACAGGTGATCAAATACCACCACAAGAAAGCTCTATTCGTGGGAAAAAAAGGACGTACATTTCATTTGGATGCAGTGTTGCATGACCGCGCAATTGTCAGTTAAAGTAAAGCAGCGCCATATGCCCTGGTCAGGAAGGGAGGTAAATCCTTAACAAAGTGGTAGGCCACATAAAATGACAGAGCTGGGTCCAGCGCATCTGAAGCCACAGTGAGCAGAAGTCACCAACTGTCTGCCGAGTCAATAGCTAAACACCTCCAAACTTTGTGTGGCCTTCAGATTAGCACAACAGTGCGTAGAGAGCTTCATGGAATGGGTTTCCATGGCCGAGCAGCTGCATCCAAGCCTTACATCAGGGCTTAAAGTTTCAAGTCTAGACCTACTAGCCAGGCAAAAAAAACCTTTACTCTCCACCAGTTGCCCCACCCAACCTTGCCCAGGTCCACCTCCCAACCCCACCCCAGGCCTGTCCCCAACCCTGCCCCCTTAAAGCTTATGAAATTACATTTTTCTTTAGAATAAAGAGTCCAATATATAAAAAACAGCAGTATATAACATAACTTTATTATGTCAATTTAAACATAACAGCAATAGCTTTAATAGAGTTTAGAGGGCAAGTGGTTAACATAAAACAATGTAAACATTAAAATGAAAATAAGTGTCCTCATCAGAGTCCCCCTTTACATCAGGTGTCCCCATCAGAGTCCCCCTTTACATCAGGTGTCCCCATCAGAGTCCCCCTTTACATCAGGTGTCCCCATCAGAGTCCTCCTTTATATAAGGTGTTCACATCAGAGCCCCCTTTGCATCAGGTGTCCCCATAAGTGTATCCTCGCCTTCCCCCTTGTACTCACAGATCTTCTTATGAATGCAGCTTCTCCTTCTTTCCCTCCTTTGGTCATGTGATAAGTCACATGCACAAGGAGAGAGAGGAAGGACTCTCTACCTTCACTCCTTAGTGCCGGCTGTCTATTGCCCCTGCAGGTAGGAGGGAGGAGAAAGTCAAGTCCCTGTGACAGGAGTGAAACTGCCATCACTCTGGTCATGAGGAGCGGCACCAGCAGTGCGCCCCCCCTCAACACAGTGCTCAGGTCAGGTTGGTGCTGCTGGTAGCACCCGCCCCCCACCCTCTGATTGCAGCGCCTGGGACACACTCGCCCACATGTTATTTTCACTAGCCAAATGCAAGCAGGCGAATAGAAATTTCAAGCCATACCTTACATCATCAAGTGCAATGCAAACCGTCACATGCAGTGGTGTAAAGCATGCCACCACTGGAACTCTAGAGCAGTGGAGACGTTCTCTGGAGTGATGTATCACACTTCTCTGTCTGGAAATCTGATGGACATGTCTGGGTTTGGCATCAGTATACCAAGACATTTTGGACAATTTCATGCTCCCAACTTTGTGGGAACAGTTTGGGGATGGCCCTCCTGTTCCAACATGACTGCACACCAGTGTACAAAGCAAGGTCATAAAGACATGGATGAGCGAGTTTTGGGGTGGAGGAACTTGACTGGCCTTGCACAGAGTCCTGACCTCAACCTGATAGAACACACTTGGGATGAATTAGAGTGGAGACCGTGAACCAGGCCTTCTCATCCGACATCAGTGCCTGACCTCATAAATGCGCATTCTGAAAGAATGGTCAAACATTCCCATAGACACACTCCAAACCTTGTGGACAGCCTTCCCAGAAGAGTTGAAGCTGTTATAGCTGCAAAGGGTGGACCAACTCAACACTGAACCCTACGGTCCCTAACTTACATTAATACATACACATACTAGAGCCAATTTGACAGGGGCCAATTAATCTACCTCATGAAGCCTGTCTGGAAAACTCCAAGGACATTGCTCAGTGAGGCCTAGCTATTACTGTTCACCTCCACCATCACAGGAGTGAGCTCTCACATGCTGATCTCAGAGCTACTGGATCAGGGGAAGGAGAGAAGGAAGTGTACATGAGGGAGTCTGAATCAGGAAAAGCTCCCTCCTGTGGTGGTGAACAGTAACACTAGATATAACATCATCCTGGGAGTTTTCCAGTCAGGCTTCATGAAGTACATACATGGCACACACCTATAGCCAGGACATTAGGCCCCTTTCACACGGTCTGAACTCCTCTTGTTCAGCAGGGTCTCTGTCCTCTGATCCCCGCTGAGCAGGTGGATGACAGGTCCATGCCCATTTTACTTTTGCAGAGCACAGACACAGACCCACTCTCTACTCTATTAGGCGGTCAGATGGAAACAGGCCACCTGTCCGTTTGCCACCCGACTGCCATCTGATCTGATCCACCCAGTTAGAGGGGAGCAGATCCCCATCCGGATTGATTTGGATGTAGATGGGTGTAAACCAGGCATGTGTCTGTTTACAACCCACCACCCCATAGAGGAGAATAGAGGGTCCAATCGGGTCCGCCTGAAAAAAAAATGTGTAAAAGGGACCTTCTTCAACTTTAGTCAAAGATGCCAGTTTGTTTTTATCTGCAGACACCCATTATCTGCACAAGGCAGTGTTTTGGTAAAGGTGAAAATATGCCTTTAACCACTTGGGGACCGCAGACCCACAATCTACTACAGACAGGCAACCCACACAGGCAAAAACAATGTACCTGCATTTCTGGGTTTGGGGTCACGCCCCCCACCCCTCCAAAACTAAAGCCTGTCAGCAAGTCCCGGCCAATGATTCACAGCCAGGACCTGCTGATTGGTGTATACAATCATAGCCCAGAGCTCTGTGTTGACAATCAAACACAGAAACTCTGTATAGAGGGAACAATCTTTGTGCAAAGCAGGGATGAGAAACTAAGAAATCATTAGTAAAAAAGCAGCAAACTTTACACATAGTAAAACATTGTTAGGCACACATTTAACCCTTGATCACCCTAGATGTCAACCCAGTGTTATTAGTACAGTGACAGTGTATAGTATTATCACTGATCATCACTGTATTGATGTCAGTGGCAGCTAGTTACCCCCCAGAGTCAGTTAGTATCGGATTTTCCCGCGCATCTCATAAGTCGCTGATCACCGCAATTCCAGTAATATACCATAGTTTGTAGGCACTATAAACTTTCACGCAAACAATCAATATTCCCTTATTGGGATTTATTTTTTTTATCAAAGGGACATGTAGCAGAATACATTTCAGCCAAAATGTATGTAGAAATGTGTTTTTTTTTAAATCTTTTTATTTAATGTTTTTTAGCAGAATTGTTTTCAAAAAAAAAAATAAAAAAAAAAACAGCAGTGATCAAATACCACCAAAAAGTAAGCTCTATTTGTGTGAAAAAAATGATATAAATTTGGTTTGGGTACAATGTTGAATAACTATGCAATTGCCAGTTAACAACTTCAATACCGGGTTACCCACTTCCTGCCTAGGCCAATTTTTCAGCTTTCAGCACTCTCACACGTTGACAATTGAGCGGTCATGCAACACTGTACCCAAACTAAATTGTTATAATTTTGTTCACACAACTAGAGCTTTCTTTTGCTGGTATTTAACCACCACTGGGGATTTTATTTTTTGCTAAATTGATGAAAAAAGGACTGAAAATTTTGAAAAAAAAACATGTTTTTCCTTGTTTCTGTTATAGAATTTTGCAAATAAATATTTGTTCTTCATACATTTAAGGCCAAGATATATTCTACTACATGTCTTTGGTGAAAAATACCCCATATCAGTATTTATTATTATAATCTGTAGGAAAGTTATAGAGTTAACAAACTATTTGATATATTACAGTAAGGGAATCTGGAAAAAAAATACAAACTGAAATCCACTAATTTGGAGGGGCGCCCCAATTACCTGTTTGGCATTAATAATTTTATTATTTGAAAAAAATTGATCAGACCCGAAAGTACCGAAAGAATCATCTAATTTCTTGAGGCCCCAAAAATTGCAGACGACAAACAGGTAATCCCCCAAAAGTGTGAAACAGTCGAGAGGTATTTAGTAAGGAAGGGCATTGGCAAATTTTTTCTGAAGTTTCCTAATTTTTTTGTCATTAAATTTTTGAAAATCCAATTTTTATTTCTTTAACATACTCGCACCGATGCAGTACAAGCATCATCATGTAACTAAGTAGCAAGTGATAGGGACACGGACTGTGACAGTGCAAAAATATATATATAAATATCTATATATATAGATATATAATTTTTTTTAAATTACTTTTTATTCATTTTTTTTTTAAATTATTTTTTTTATTTTTTCATAATACACTGTGACAGAGAGCAAAATGTTTACCATATAACTTTGTACTACTTTGGGGAAGTAATCAATATTTTTTTACACATTTAATGATTGCTTAGAGCAAAGTATTTCTATGCAATTAGCAAGCATTTAAAGATAAGTTCACCTTTTGACAAAAGTAATAAATGCACTTTTTTTGCAGGTAAAAAAAGTGTGCATTTATATTTTTGTCTGCAGGAGCCTGGAAAGCATTCCTCCATCAATCAGTAGATTTTGGTGGGCACAAGGTCTCCTGCAGACCTGTCAGAATATCTGCTTGCTGTACGGGACTATGGGGCAAGCAGATATTTGACCGGAAGCTTCAATGAACTACCACAACGCTCCACAACTCCGTGGTAGTCATTGAA